CTGCAATCCCTTAGTGATAGGAATTCATTTGAAAAACTTAAATATGAATCAATATTCAAGAGTTTTGATAAAGATACAAGAAGATAACTTACTGTAATATTAGTGTTGGTTTATTAGAATATATTATAGCAAAAAATATATCCCTTAAATTACCAGATAGTATTTTAATTTTTGAATAAAGAACTGACAAGAAATCTGAGACTAAAGTATGGCGACTAGCATATTTGATAGAAAACTAACATTCGATCATACTTCTTTTTTTATTACCATTAATATATAATTTGGTTTAACCAACAATTAGAGATCTGATCATAGAGCAAGATGACTTTCTGCATTAACTCCCTCATTACTTTTTTATTACAAGCAGGATTTTGATCTAATTAAATGGCCAACAAACATTAGGGAATTCTTTGTGTATTGTCTCTCCAAGAATCTCACAGACTTTCTATTACTATTAAAAATAATGCCTGAGAAAGTTTTTCGAAAACCCCATTTCACACAACTGCCTTCATTGTATACATCGTTAGTGTGTATGTTGATTCAGGATTGGTGGTTTACATGTGTTTGCACATCCTATTGTGTATACAAAATAAACACTACACTATTTGACAGTATGTTTGTTTACACAGAATGCAATACAATTAAGAATGCACTGATTTAAGTGTTCTGCAACCATAAGGGGATAATTTATTTCCTCTACAGTATTTGTCTGTCTTTACTTCATCTTCAACATTAAAATAAATTTTTGAATTTTCTATTCAAATAGCACAACTTTTTCTAACATCTTCCAATGCCGGTGACAAGCAGTTTTTATTTTCTCTCTGTCTTTAATCGGCACTATAAAAATGTGTTATTATTATTAATAATATATTGTTGCTTTTCTAAGCTGGTTGGGTGAACTGTCAGGAAAAACACTTTTGGCATGACAGGAAGCTGGTTGGGTGAACCATTTGGTAAAATGTGATTATCACTTGTGTCCCAGTAGATGGTGGTGGGTTTTGAGAGAAATCAAAGGTGTTGTTTGGTTTGTTCACCTAAAAAGCATCCCTCCATCTTCTCTGATATTAATGCATAGTTCTTTCAGCTTACCAAGCACTTACAACATCCAAATAATAGTGCATTAGTAACTTGCATTTAAGCATGCAAGAGAGCATTGCATAAATTGAACCAGAGACCTCATGGTTTCAATAGTTCAGTGCACACACAGTACAGTAAAATACTGTACAGTACCTTGGCCTTATGATGTATTGTAACAGGATCATAAATTAATATTTTATAATATTTGATTCAAAAGCGCCTTGAGAGAGTTATCGATTGTGTAAGGTGATAAATACTTCCATCCAGGGTTTCGATGATGATGATGGGTATTAACACAATAATATACTATAAATTATATTGTAGTGTTGGCAAAGGTCACAGGAAAAACGTAGGTGAGCAAAACAGAAAAAAATGGTAATCAATAGAGGCAAAGAAATCAAATTTAAATGAGCTTCTTAAGATGGTCAAAAACAGACGTATCATATTAACAATAATTTACTGTTAAAATGTAATCCGAGATGGCTAAAATGGAGGCGGTCTATATAGAAAAAGAAACCAGGGAAACACCCCCTCATAGAACACTGTATATATATATATACATAGCTGCGGCTAGAAGTTTACCACAACATCCTCAATTCAAATTGACATATTACGGCATTCCCAGGGCAACAAAATGCTATCTGAGTTTCAATATGAACGGATTTTGTCTTTATATCCCTTGAAATACAAATCATGAGACTGGAGTGGTTATTAAGCAATAGTTGCGTCTTGGTTTTCAACCATTAGATCAGGGTTCGGATGCCATGATTCAGGGTCCTGAGGCACAGAACTTCATCTAAATTTCTTTTTCTCTGCCTAACAGGATGGGTACCTGGTGAACATTCTATGTTGAATGTTTTGGTATTATGCTGAATATATTTTATGCATGATTGAGATAAGAATACTCCACTGGGAGTGGAGGTCGCACAATTTGCATGACTGTTACTGTTTTTAATTACCTCTGAGACAATACTGTAATGCAAAGTTCTTCAAGATGTTTAAAATGGCTAAGTAATGGTAAAAAAAAATATTATTTTGAAAAATGAAGGGTACCAGCAGAGTTTGGTAAGAATTTATAATAATGGGATGAATAACCAACAACATGAAAACTGAGAAAAAGATTTTAAAGATTTACTGTCTATCACAGTATGGGGGAACCCTAAAAAATTCAATTAAAACATTGAAAGGCTCATTCAACAAGAAATGAAATAAAATATCAACTTCCACTGATTTATTACAGATATTTTACTGTACAGTACTAGAAAAAATTCTTAAATTGATTACTACAGCATACCAGCCAATTTAATAAGGGTCTATACTATACACAAAAAATAGACTGCTTTTTAAAATTCAAGACTCTAATAATCAGTGAGGACATTTTTTTCACCAACAGTTTTTCAATATAGAAAGTAAAACTCTGTCCAGACTATCACATTTTCTTGACAAAAAACTGTTGTATGTCCATATATAGTCATGGTGTGCCTATATATGGTCATGATGTGATGTCATCATGACCATATTTAGGCATGTCACATGTTTTTGTCAAATAAAATGTCATAGTCTAGATTTTGCTAAGGAATCAACAGTTTTATTTATCAAACACAGACAGTATACTGTATCTTTAAAACACTGCAAATTTGATAATGAAATAAGGGATTCACTAGATATACTGTAGAAAGAATACAGTATCTCATTTTGGATGCAAATGGCAGTTATACTACCAAACTGTTTATTTGGTAGTATTTTTTTGTTTTGCTTTACTTTTTTTCCTTTCATTTGTATTTTTTAAGTAGTTCTTGTTTAGTTGTTTATTTTAGAGTTAGGTTTTCATGATATGTAAAAGATATGGCCTCGTGGAAGAATACCACCTTGGTGAACGAGCTTCCGTTGTAAAAGGAATATTTTATTATTATGTATGTACTGTAGTTACCATATTGTGGTGAACGACTAATGCATTTAAATATTGGTGTTTTTTTTTGTGTTTTTTTTTACAGTTGTGATATTTTTGGCAGTTGTTAATTGTTAGATTTGGCGTTCACTTGTAGACACTGGCCTAATATCTTCAATTTGAAATGTATGAGGGAAATTGCAATAAAGTTTGTTGTATCGTATATATCACAGATGCCAATGATGGAGTAGGTGCATTAAAAACATAAAATGTATTCTCAAACAGAATGAAGTAATCTACTCGTGCTAAACTTCATCAATAATTAATGGACAGTTCTACACTTTCCATAATGAACAAAGATATCTATTGTTAAAAGGTATCTATCTTCTAGGTCATATGTACTGCAGGCAAAGGGATGGGTAAATTAGATTGTGTCTGTGCATGCTTTAAAAATATTGAAATATACAATGATTGTATAAGAACAGCATGACCTATGAAAGACGTCAAGATATTATTTTCCAAAAATTAAAATGCTAAGAAACATACTTCTCATGGTAGGCATGTGGTGCAATGTTTGTTATTTTAATCAAATCTCTATCTTAATATATTAATGAAACATTTTGAGATATTGCGTGCAACATAAGCTTTATGTGTTTTATTCTACTTTCTTTTCTTTTTTTGGGGGCGGGGGGCATAGACTTCGAGTGGCAATTACTTTTTTTACTTGAGGGGCTAGTAATGTTGGCATGAGGGTGAAATGGTAGCTCAAGGAGTAAGGGGGAGGGGGAAGCTGGCAAAAGGTGATATGAGGTTTTACTTGAATTTTATTTACTTAGCACCTTTCCAGTGGGGTGCCTAGGAGGGCGGGTGAAAGCTTTATGGGGACATGCACCTTCCCCATGCTTCCTGTAGATATGCCACTGATTTTCATGATTGTAAGTGCTTTTGGGGTTCCAGCATAGTTTACATCCAAAAAAAGGAAATGAGACGTTAAAGAAGGGATGAAAGTGCTCAATTTGACAAGATACAGTACAGCTTTAATGAAGACGTAGGAAGCTGCCATGTTGTTTTTGCCATATACTATATTTTTAAAGAGACATTAGATTATCATTGATAAACTTACTATTATGAGGCAGACATTGACAGTATTAGTTGTTGTAGCCAATTAATGGGAGATTATTACCTGAATTGATGTGTGTAGTATTATAACCAATCAATTAATTGTGAAGGAGAAATCACTTTAATTACCAATGACACATTATTTGTCATACAGTAAATATTTGTCTTTGTTTTTTTTTTAAATTAATAACAAAATCAATTGAAAGATGTTTATATCATAGACCTATTGATTATATGTTGGTGATGCCCAGACTACAGTATGATAATAAAGATGATTAAATCAATATTTCCAAATCACAGCTAAGCATAATCAAAATTTTGAGCTCTACATAAATTGCTAAAAATATTTCAATACATGACATTGATATGCATTAAAATGTTAAAAGTTAGTGGCAAAACGAGGTTGGAGGGGGGTGGGGAACATTCCCCCATGCCCCTACTGGATCTGTATATGATTACTACTAGCTAACAAATGAAGTATAAATACACATACTGTATATGTATACTGATAACCCACAATACCATATTAACTCTCTAGTGAAACTATTATTATTAAATTTTGTTAATACAGGTAAGCAGTACCCTAATATTTTAGAGCATGATCCCAAGAGTACATTTATCACCAAAAGCTCTTTAGTCCAGTATGCCTATTGAGAATGTGCTAAACATACATAAACAAGAATACCAGTAGTACCAGTACTCAACTAATATGCTTAGCATTTTGGCGGCTATAATATCTTCATATTAAAAATTCAGACATGATGAGATCATTAGCATTATATATTCATAAACACAGCTGTACAAATTGAAGGAATTAATTATAGTCTATTATCATTTAAAGAATATGACTAACTACTCATCATAATGATAAAAAACAAAAACAAAAACAAATCATCAACAAAAAGACATTGCTTACCTATTATTTGTAAAATTCCAATAACAAATCATCAAAAGGTAAAAATCCAAATAGTTGACAAATAGAGAATGCTAGTATTGGAATTGTTGGGTATATACACGTGTGTGATGGATCTTATAGAAGCTTTTCTCAATCAGATATCAATCCCAAGGTGTGGGCGTTAGATCCAATCTTTACACAAATAATACAGCCAAGCAAAATGTGGTAGTAGTAGTCCATAGTATTTATCCACCCTGCCCACACACAAGCCAGCCTTGAATAGTTTATTGATCTAGTAGGAGCAGCTACTTATCCATATTCTGTATAATGCTCCGCAATTCAACCAATCACTGCACAGTATTAACCATAGCCCTGCCTCTTGACTAGGTCACCAAATCCAAATATGGAGATTTGCTGCTTCACTGCATTTGATTGGATTAAGTGGTGAGTAGTAGTGGAAAGCGTCGTGCTGCCCATACATAATAGAGTGCCGAGTGGCATAGTGGAAGGATTATGGAAAAGACAATAACAGGCAATCAGGCTGGCTAAGTCAGGGCTGCAAAGAACAATATTGCACACTGTCTATTTGGACAGTCAGGACTTGTAATAAAACTGGCAAAAATATCAATCTTTTTTTGTTGGGGAGTTTATCGAACAATAAACAAGGCAGTGATAATTAATGAAATAATATTGATCTTAATACTAAATGATAGGTTGACCTCTCTTGGGTTTTTTTATGTTCAGATAAAATCTAAAGCCCAAACCGATTGGGTGCATCATTTCATTTAAGAATTTGGATTGTATATTATATTTCTTAATAATATTGTCCTTGTTTACAGTACACTCATGGTGAAGTCATTTATTTCAGTACTCATTGAAAATTATCAGATAGAGAGGGAAAGAATGTATAACAATTAACAAGGTAATTTATGATTTATACCTCTGTACTATACTTAACTGCATTTTGTATTCTACTTAAGTAAAACATTAATAGCACTTAAGTAGTTGTAATTGATATGGTGGTAAATAACAGATAGAAGGACTAAAATGTGTTGCAACAGTATTGGCTTCCTATCAAAAGGATGACTCTTTAATAGGCTGGCCTCTTGTAATTGCTACACACTATCGCAGACAGCTTTCGGTGATGCTGATTGGTTGGTCGAATCGGGGAGCTTTCCTGGTTGCGGGATCACACTGAAAACACTGTAGCGATTTTATGGAAAAATGGCTTTAGTGCCTTGTTAGTTGTCTTATAAACTTCTCTGTATTGTACAAATTATTTCTTCTTCCATAGCTGTTGATAATATAGTAATAGTACCAGTGGCGTATCCAGGATTTTGAAAATGGGAAAACTGAATAGAAATATTACATTTAGGCTACGTTCTCACACGGCAGCTAACGGATAGCAGGATCCAGATCCTGCTAACCGTTAGCTGCCGTGCGTCCATGCGAAAAAATCCCGATCCGGATATCAACAATATGATGATCGAATCACTGGCCAATAAGAAACTGGAAATTGTAAACGTGTACATGTGATTGGCTGATGATAGAAACGCCCTCAACTTGCTAACCGAAAGCGTTTGCTAACCGTTAGCGTATCCGGATACCGCTAACGGTTAGCGCTCTCGCGCAGGTGTTAACGGTTAGCTCCCAATCCGGATACTTCTCTCGTGAGAACCAGGCTTTTGAACATAACCCACCGGGTGCAAAACTGGTGACGGAGCATTGATATCTGTGACTACAATATAAATTTGTTGTTAATACCGTCTAAAGTAACTTTACTTGGCTACTGTATTTCCATTATGTTTTCACATTTGAACAAACACAGAGGTAATCAGGCACCGTGAGCATCCCCATGGTTACGCCACTGTATATAATACAGTCTCTTTATTCACTACTCCAAATTCAGAGTTTTCATGAAAAATGATAAAAAAAACCACAGATAAATGGTGTCTATAATTGATATTCCTTATGTACCAACTATTTTAAAAGATAAAATAATCAAAAAGCTTTCTGTAGCATTGTGCTATGAATTTAAATTTGACTTTTTACTAAGTCTCTCTTAAAATCCCTTCTTTTGTCGTGGATAATAGAAACATGCTAATATGTAGAGCATTGTTATGAATACACTATGAATTCATTCTCCCCATATAAAAAACATGGTATCTCCAAAGATCATTGGTTAAGGCAGAATTGTCGGTTATAAAGGCAAATTAAAAGAAGCGAGTCGACAATTGATACCTCTAAAGCCAGACACTCACTGGATCCGACGGTCGTCGACCGACATAAAGAAGGCAACGCCACAATGCGAGTGCAACTGATTGTTTTAAATGACGATCTTTTCAGAGTGCCACCCACAATCAGCAGATGGCATTGCGTCATCTAACACTCATCTAACACTGGTCTTTTTGATCTTCTTGAGTGGGCTGCCATCAATTTATCAGCTGAATGATTTGTTTCTTGTTCCTCCTTCCTCCACTCCCCAAATCATTTTAGTAGGCCTACTGTACATTTACAGTACTGTATTCTATTTAGTGTGGGAAAGTAGAACAAAAAAAGAAACCAACTCATTCGCTCAAAGGGTGGAGTATGAGAATAAAAGTAGGAGGGGAAATTTCTCACCTTATCTCAATAGAATTAGGTGAATCTACACATATTTCATAATGATCACATATCATACATTACAATAGACTTATCAAATCTATCTGTTGGGAATTTCTGCTTGAATGATTCATGAATCATAAGCATAATATTACTGTATGAGGTGAAGCGAAAAAAAGCATCTGTATTTTCACCCCAGATACGATTTCTACTCAAAGAGATAGAATGGAATGCTCTCTGTGTTGAATCAATAAACATGAAAAGTATATTTGAGTTACTGACTTTGTATGCCGTATCCATTCGAATAAACGCCCCAAGGCGTTTATTGTTGAGAAGGGTTTTTTTGTTTTTTGGGTTTATTCAAGGGAGGAATTTATTTGAGGGAGATGTTTTTTTGGTTTTTTTTTGTAAAATGGACACGTATAAATACTCCAATAAACGCCCCTTAATTTCACTATAAATGTGAAACTACAACACTACGTCAAAATGTGTTATTACCTGATCATAAAGACTTAATGCAGTTTCCGTAACAAGTTACAGCTGTTATTCGACGGAGGCGTTTACCATTCCAAGTGGGGAATATATTCAAATAAATGCAGTATTTGAATGCTGACTTTGTATATTTAAGTTCTTTGAGCCTTTTAATTGCCACAGATAGTAGTATTATGCATCTAATATTTTCATTACAAGTGAAGAAGTGGTTTGTTGTTTGGCGCAGTCAGAATGGTTTGGTTTTCCAACCTTGAGGTCAGGGTTTCAGTCTCTCGCTGTGCACTTTGCTTGCGCCCTTGAGCAAGGTACATATCTACATTGCTTCTCTCTACCCAGGAGTATAAATAGGTACCTGATGGGGTTGCCCTGCTCCTGTGTTACACCAGCAACATTTAAGCATGTACACCCAATGACCAGAGAAAGAAGCGCTTCATATCTACAAATGAAGATGCTACATAAATAACTGAATGAAATAAGTTAAATAAATATCATTCTTTGCATAAACCTTTAAACTGACTTGTAATCATTTTAGAATTTTAGTACAAAAACATCATCAAAACTGTTTGAAAGTAAGTATTATTTTCTTATCGTTTGAAATTAACAATTCAATGTTCAGATTCTAAGACAAGACATCTTTAAGCTCAATTTGATTATTCACCAATTTTTTTTTATCTAATGTGTTATTACACAAAACATAAACTGTATCTGTACAGCAGCTTCTGATATGATGCTAAGAAGACCAACGGTGTATTTGTTTTTCTCTTAAAGAATTCCATCTAATGCTTGATTGAACATGCACAGAATTGCATTACGAGTATGAGCAGCGTCTGCAAATTGATTGGTTTCTTCACAGCTTTTCGTGGATCGACATGCCATACATGGTCATAAGAATACGAGGCTGAATCAATTTGCATAATGTCTTTATGTAAAGTTGTGCGCGTCGTTTTTAAGATTTATCATGCAAGCATCCAATAAGCGAGGCAGCACTGTACATGAGCACTTCACCTGGGAACTACATTTCATCAGTAATGAGAATAATGATATCGTAAAAATATTTTCCATGATAGATTGCTTTTGAAATGATCACTAATTTTTGGAAAACAATATTCTATTTTGGATCATATAATTGACGGAAAATAATCAATAAACTTAATAAAGGATATATATAAATACAAAAATAATAAAATATAGCATATAATATATCACAATAGCGATATTTAGTATGAGATAGTATAAAATATGTCTTGTATATTCAGAAAGGATTGAAATAGTCAGACAGGTGGTCTGATGTTGGCTTAGGGAGCTTCCCCTGGTTCTTATTGGAACTGGCAATTTCGAGCGACACTAAACTTTTTTGTTTGGAAAGTATTAGAGCTTATTCCCAAAGAATTTTTTAATGTCTTTTTTTGTCCTACGAGTTGTGGTTGGCAGGGGCTTGGCCAATCTGTGAGTTTACTATAAGCCCCTATTTCTCCCCTGCTGTTGCTACAATTGGCGAAGAACCTCTCAACGGTTTGGCAATCATTCCACACTATTTCAACCTTTTTGTTTATTGTGTTATTCTTTAAATTTGTTTTGGTGACATTTATGAGAGGTCTATGGTTAAGACAAAAATCCATGAAGACTAGTAGTTGACATGATAATTTGAATAAAAACCTACAGGAGATTAATAAAAGTACTATGTGTTGAACTATACAAACTCATCAACCATGTTTTGACAAGGATAATACATTCTTATTGAAGAAGCCAGAACTCAATGACGAGTCAATCAAACATTGCAAACAAATTTACCTTCTATGGTTTACCCCATTAACAACAAACGCTACTGACTGTTAATGCCCTCTCTTAATTGTTCTGTCTTACAAAGAAGAAACCCTGACACACAGTAGTCCATTAAAAATTCAACAATACTGTGGGGTATAAACCATGTAGTAATTTAGAATAAAACAAACTGAATGGGGATACCAACATTAATGATTTCTTGTATTGTGCTGTGGAAGTCGTTAGAGTACCATACATTTGTGTCTTTAAATTTCTTTAGATTTTGTATTGAAATGCATACTGTATTCATGTTTGATATATTAACAAGTCACTAATCCTTGTTATTATCAAGCAAGGGAGTACAAAATATCGATAAGTTGAAGGGATTAGACTTAAATAAAATCATTCACTGAATTGTAGCTAATCAAGATGTAGTGATCAATATGTTTATATTTTCAATAGGCATTGAATGATAATCTTGGATTTCTGAAATCATAATGGATATAAACTGCAAGTTTGAATGCTTTTCTCTTAGTATCAGATTCTGCACTTGTTCCTTTGGTCAATGACCTGAGTATAACCCAAATCCCTTTGCCCTTATATGGTCAGTTGTCTTGTCTCTCTGTTTTTTAATGGTTGCATTTCTTGTTTGTTCCTTGAATTTACTGACCTGAA